TCTCGGCGAAGGTAAATAGTGAAAATGAATTATACTAAATATAATAGTTTCAGTACTCTATCAAAAATTGTCTGTTGGCTGCTTTTGTCAAAATTATTGTACCTCGATTCACTTAAGTTTGACAATAATATTGCAAGGTTTTCAGCCCAACAACAGACTAATAGAATCTGGTAAACAAGTCACTGTTTAGCCTGAGGTATGTGTACTAAAACATGAAAAATGGGTAATCCACACAAATGATGAACAATCTCGAGTAGTAAACGATCATTTTGGTTACAGAATGTCCGGAATAGCTCAGGGACGGATCAGAACTATATGGGGTATATAAATCAGTGGTTTCCTTTATTTGACCAGGGAGGAAATTCTTTGCTGAATCATAGTCTATATCAGACTTCTCTGTGGTTAGATACAGTAGAAAATCTGTATCTGTAAAGCCTGTATAACCGCCTTTCGGCGTAACACACCAGCTTCGCAGGCACGCGGCGCGGCGGCAGCTGGCTATATTACACCGATCGACTTGTTACACCTAACCCTTGAACTTCTAGCTCTAGACATTGTTTAAAGCTATCTATTGACAATGCCCCTACTGTACTTGGTGACAGTGAGTTCCACTCTGCGATAGTTCTAGGAAAGAATGGCCCAAATATGGTAGATGCCTTGCCAGAGGAGTAAGATTATTCACAATTGTACCACCAGGTCCAGAATTAAATTTTTCCTACCACCTGGTTAAAAGATTTTATCAATGTTCTTCTACACTGTTTTAGATAAGATATTACAAGGTAGGGATCGGACCTCCTTGCTCTGACACTTCCTGATCTCTCTTAATCCTCTCTAATCCACAGCTAATTCACAGGCTTAAGTCATAAATTTGAAGGTCACCTCTTGTAGGCTGGAGGCCTATCTACATGTAGGCAGCCAAATGACCAAGACTTGGACATGTCAAATATTTCCCCTTTTCTTGGCTCTTCCTACATAAACTCTGCTTTCCTTAGCTTTTTATAATGTTTTTGCGAGATGCAAGCATCGTTTCTTCAAAATATTGATTGGTGGACATTTTTACAAAACTATGTATTATTGTGTTTACCTGGTTACCTAGGCTACAAGCAATACTGTATTTGCTGAAATCATCAAGGATGTTTCCCCTCAAGTTCTCTTTCTCGGCCTCTTCATTTACAGTGTAGCAGGAAGTAACTTGTGTATCACCTGAAGGGTTAGACTACAGCTGTACATGCGGGATATCCCTGCATCCTGTAGTTTGTAAACAGTTCAGGTGTTTGCCTGAAAGACAGGTGGTGTGTGCTGAGGTGTAGTGGTTAACAATCCAACTTCTGTATTGCAAGGTCAGGGATTTAAATCCCTGTCTATTCCTTTAGTTAGTCCTTTAAAGGGGACATTGTGATTTGGTTAGTACGTTAAGTGCTTTATTTATTTATTCATTTATTAAGTTTTACCACGTACAATATGCACTGTGGATGGCATGGCGAAACAGGTGTTTCTGACATGAAACACCTTTTCAAAGCCGCCATACCAATAAAATGACAAAACAATACAAAAAGTAATCAAATCACATCATAATACAATTTGAGAAACAAATAAATAAACTTAAAAAGTACAAGGCAAGTCAACTTATTAACATTGTGAGAGTTATTGATTCAAGACAACAAATAACGACAGTTATATAGCCAGCAGTGATATCACAGTTAGCGCGGTCTTGTGGCCAGACAAGTAGCGCAACCACAAGATAACTGCCACGTACAGGGTTGCTCTAAACTAACTAAGTGCTTAACTACATTTTTTAACTGTTGCATCGACAAAAATGCCATGCATGTGTAGCGAAGAAATGGTTTGAAACTCTAGCCAGGTGGACTCTGATTGTACAGATGGTAATCTGTGTTTTGTGATACCATATCAGGTGTTCCACAAGCCACATTCCTTCAACACTTTCTTCACTCAGGTAAAAGGCAGGTTGTTCTGGTCACCTGGCTCCTTTATTTGTGGATCTTTGTCTCACCTGTCTGTGTTTCGTAAACGGGGTAATATTACCAGTTCAGTTTCCTTATTTCTTACAGAAGGTCGATGTTTATTTCCACACTGTGCATGTATAACGGGCACTGGACCTGTAGTTAGTGACCCTGGTTTTGGATCAGAAGGTTCAGAGTTCAAATCCCGCACTGCCTTTGTATTTCCTCTGTTGTACTTGCCACTGGTTGTTCTGAGCTACTAAGTTATTTTTCAGGTCCATTGTTTACAGTACTTCTCAAAAAGAGCAAAGGACTCTACCCACCACAATTTGAACCTACATGTATGTACATGTACTATACTGTACAATGTATGTGTCATTGCTGCAAGTTTTTTTTTTTTTGGTTGTCTGATAAATCTTAAAACAACACAAAACAAACACTGCAGAATCCTCTTTTCCCTTTTGACTGCAAAATCAAGTCCCCACAAAATGTATGATTATTTTTTTTTCAACCTTTATTTGTATACTACCTATATTTATACACTAATTATCAGTAGTGTACATCAAACATTTCAGTAGACAACCATAAACTAAAGTATCCCCTCTTTTGTTGCCAAGCCAGGTACATGTACCACCTAGCGCTCGCCCTACCATGACAGGGTTTCATGTTGGCCAACTGCCCCGGCCGTTAATTGATTCCCTCCATTCGAGCGTACTGTTGAGCCGAGGCCAAGGCATTGGCTGCTCCCCCTTAAAAACCCACCGATGTTTGGGCAGCTTTTCCGCCATACAATACTCAGAATTACATCAAGTGCCCACCCTTTATAAAAACTGACTTACAGAATAATGGGGGGTAGAGAAGGCAAGAATGGAGCCCCCTCACGCTTTTAAGAAAATGGTTCGGTTTCTTGTGTTTTTCTTCTTGTGGGAGGGGCATACTGGCAAAGACAAGAACTCGATGATGACCTTAGGCGAACTGTAAAACAAAACAAAACAATGGTTGTTAGTTAAGAGTTTTGTTTAATTGTAACCATGGTTACTCGAGGTAAAGTCAAACCACCTGCCAGTTAGTTTTTTTTCTCGCGAGGGCTTTCCCCAGTGTTAGAAATGTCTTTAACGACTGCATAGCACACTTGAGAATTTTGCCTACTGTCGTGCCAACTCTAAATCGACTGTATGCCCTTCGAGATCCTAGTTCTTCCAGGTGATGGCTTTCTATTAGCCCCATACTCCACCCACATAACACAGGTAGACAGCCGGCTTTAGGGGACAATTCTTCTCTTGGTTTTTTAGGCAATCTGTCATGATGTATCAATTTCCACTTTTTCCAACATTGGAAAGAGGAAACTGAACTACGTAGACCCTGTTATTTTAACAGCAAACAAAAAACAAAATTTGTAAACACAAGTGGAGAATTAAGGCTATTCTAAACTACACGTACCTAACTGTATGATATGCGAAGGATTAAACTTTTTCTATGTACAGATGAAAATATAAGGACATATAGTTATGACTATCATTAAGAGTATGTCTTTGTATTGTTTGCAGGGGTGTATTGTAACTTTAAAGAAAGTTTTGGCTGTGGTAGCAGCTTGCGTCTAGGTTCTAAGATTGCCTGAGCTCCAATTAACTGTTGACCAAAGTATTTTGGGTCCTGCTGCAATGTTTGCCTGCTCAGCTTGTGTGTTTGCTGTTGTTTTTCCACCATGTTGGTCACACAGAGTTGAGTTTGTCCCACTTGTTTGGTGTTTGTAGGGGTGGGAGGAGGGAGGGGGCAGTTGGCAAGTGGGAAAGGGGAGGGCTTAAAGGTTGATTGACAGCTGTCATCTTTAAGTGGTGATTTATAGGAAAAAATCTGTCACTTCTAACATCAGGACATTTCCTGTCTTGAATTCATCTTCAAGCACCCAGAGATCCTGTGACCTTTCACCCAGCTTGACCAAACAGGTGACGCCTCAAACACAACAACCTGTTAAAGAGAAAAAGATTACGGAAAAGCCCATGACTGGATTTATAAGGACTGTCCTAGATTCTCTCCAAAGCTAATCGAATTACAAACGCTGACTTGCCTGATGACATTGTCGTGGGCGAGACAGTGAACAAGGTTTAAAAGTTCCAAATTTTGTCTACCTTGACCTATCCGTGTTTTGTCTGAGGACAGTAAACGCTAAAAAAGGAAACGGAGAAAGCCCAACCCGGATTCCGCTGACAGACCCACAAACATCCCAACATTCTGTCCTGACAGCGAGCAAACTCTGAGTCGACTTCCTGCACAGGTGCCACGTACAATGTACGTCAAGCGTGGATGTGGAAATAAAAGTCTGACACCCGAGACCAGGGTGCGATCCCCTGAAAGACCTTGCCTCTTTTGTTGTCTGGGCCGAGTCACTGTTGACTTGACTCGTACTTTATGTACTGTGTCGTCGTGCCGTTTCGCGACGGCACTTTTCCGTCACACGTTAGGCTCCAAGTCCTGACATCTAGAGGAAAATGTGTTTGTTCTTGAAGACAAATTCTACTTCTACAAGTCCATGTTTTCCTTCTTGGTCAATATGTATATCCTGTAAGGTGACGTCGTGATGGTTTAAGTAGGTTGTTCGTTGCTGCCTCCTTTAAAAGGATTAGGTTTGTTCTTGACATTGGAAAGATGAATGGTTTAGGAATGAATTACAATCTCTTTCAACGTTTCAACACAATGACTGTACAGAGGGATTGGATATGGTGTGTGCAGGTTGGCCCACACACATTGATTATGTTCTTGACAATTCATCATCATATCTTGCATCGATATGGGCGTGCTCAGTAAAACGAAACAAATCAGGATCAATAAAGAAATTATCGCCAAAATTGTGATAACTTTCTCAATATCACCCAAGAGCATATTAATAACCATGTCATTGTAATTAGAGAATTGTTAATGAGTGACAATACAATACATGAATGAAGCCACTCTATGCGCTGTACACATGTATTATGTGTATCATAAAGCACAGGTTTCGACAGAATTTAATAAAGAACAACAATTTCTTTTGTTTTTCAGGACGGCACCCTGATTGTGGACAACTGTGGTTCAGCCTGTCGTAACACAGGAGGCACTGGAACAGCAAGGTAACATTTCTACTGTAACACCTTTATATCAATATTATTTATAGCAATCTGCAGTCAATGCGACAACCTCAGTTGGGATAAAGTTAAAAAGAACTCTTGACGAGTTTATTTATGTCACACACACCTTATGTCAAACTCTTGATGACCCAGATTTAGATATACCTTTTTTCCATCAAAATGTGTGTCACTTATTCAGTGCCCTTCAATAGAGACTCTACAGACAAAAAGAAGTCTTAGAATTCCACTCATACTTCATAAAAGTGGTTCCTGAAGCAAACCAACCTTGTCTTGTCTTGGTAGCCCCACCAAAGCAACCTACCAACCCTTCAAACAAAAACATTAAGGATAACATACTAAGTAGAGGTAGCACTGCAGGATATTGAGTTACAAAGCTTAAACCATTTTGATTCATTTTCCATTCTTTTTGAATTATACTTAAGTGGAGATCAGGGTCTTTGCAGTGAACTTGATGTTGGAATTAAATGGAAAAATGTGTCCTCCAGAACCTCACATCCCTTTTTATTAGGACCACCCCTCAGAGAATGCAGGCATTTCAGCCTTTCCTGGGCCAAATCATGATGCACCTTGAAGTACACGTTTAATGGGTTGAAATCCTTGCATACCTTGAGATCGGCTTTATGAATCGTGAGGCACATATGAACAAAGCACCATTTGTAGCCTTGACGTCACTACCACTTTGCAATGTCCCAGGTACATCAAAGAAGGGAAAGATTGGCAAGATTTATATAGTGGTTCATTACCCAACTTGGGTAGCCATTGAGTCAGCAGAACTTGTGCCAAAAGCACATTTCAGATGTCTTCATGCCCTTTCTTAAGGCCTTGGCTTTCTGTTCACTGGAAATTTTTGAAACTGGAAACTTGGATCGTGAGAGTTTTAAGGCTATGGAATTTCCAACTACAGGCAATTAAACTTTGAGGAAAGTTGAATCGGTGTCTTGGGAAGTACTGAAAAGATAATTTAGTCTTTCAAATTTGAGGTTTACAAATGACAATTTGGTATGTACGTATACTTATATCATACCCGTTAACGTTCGATAACGGGTTCCGGACCGGTCCGTACTTTACGGTAAGGCCCGGGCTCCATGGCTTCCATAGAACAATTCGAACGCGTTTTGTCCTAACCGTGTGCGCCGCTTTCGAAAATTCGAATACAGAATCCGAACGTTGGAACTGGTGTTGTTGCATGTGAGGGTTTAGGGGCACCAACTTTTGGCACATCTTGCATTGAAAGGCGCGTTTTCTTGGGTGGGTATGACATAAATAAAATACAACACGGTGTATTCCGCATCGCCCTCGGTCCCGGCCCTCCTGCAAGTCGGATCGGCCTGCGGCCGTCGGGCGATCCGACCCGCGGTCGGGCCGATACCTCGGGCGATACGGAATACCCCGTGTTGCATTCTATATTTATGAATGGAAGCAGCTGACCCTTTTGATTTTCAATGTCAAATCATCAAAGGAAAAGATACTTTTTTCTTGCGTAGATCTTTTTTTTTTGGCCACTTTGCAAGTCTGCTACCACTCATTGGTTCCATCAAATCTCCATCATGCCTAGACACATTCTGTGAATTGTTTTCCATTGCAAAATGACCTTAACTGTCTAGAACTTACTCTGTATGTTCACCCACACACCAAATTTCAGCTTAGACCACCCTAGCTTTTAGGGTAAATTGTCAGAACAGTTTGGCTCACCATGAAACAATAATAAACTAAGAAATAACCTGTACTACGTGTTGCGGCCCGCTTGTTCTCAGTGATTGACAAAATATTCTTTTGAAACATACATGTTTACTGCACATGAAGTGTTGTATATATGTTTTGCATCGAAGTAAAGATAACAAACATGATTTGAAGCTGATTCATAACACTATTAACAGTGTTATATTCATCAAAAACGTACATGTTTGCTACAAACGGACAGTTGCACGCTTTGTGACGACATTTTGGGTTCGACTAAAGATAACAAACGTAACTTCACACTGACTCATATCAGCAGGATAATCTTCTTAAACACACATGTTTACTGAAAACTGACACAATTTGCTGTCATTACAAATAACAAATTTCACTCCAAACTGACTTGATGTCATATGTGATAGGCATGCTTTGTGTTATGACGTACAGGAATTGTTTCAGTTGTGCATCTAGTTTAAAAAAAAAGTTGACTCTATAAATCTTTAATAAGTAGAACATAAATTCTGCTCAGTAGATTACAATATAAACTGTGCATGCTTTAGACGTTTGGGGGAACACTTGCCTAACGCTGAGGTCACATTTTTAAACCGGGGCCCGGCCGGGCTGTTTGGAATAGCAAAAAATCAACAATTTATATCATGAATATAAGCAGATAGTTCCCATTGTTAATATTTTCACCTTTTTTGTGCTTGGATGTCTTTTATATCATACTTTTTGATCCATAAGACTGCCCAGCCGGGCCCCGGTTTGGAAATGTGACCTCAGCCTAACAGGCCAGATCCTGGATTGGCAAATAAATTTTTTAATGTAAGAACTACATGTATTGTACAGCAATAATGTGAATTGAACCATTCCAATGATTCATTGTTCCTCAGTGGTTTTGTTGTAATTATTTATTGCTGTAATTTGTGGCAATTTCTTATCCAAGAATGAACCTTAAGAGTATTCCTCATTTCTGATCCATTTCTTTTCAAAATTGTCACTCGTTTCTTTGGCCTTCCTACACAAAAATGATCAAGATTTATCTATGTAACTTTTAAAGTTGTATTGTTTCCAAACCAAGGCACGTTGGAAGCATTTCGGTCAAACTAATTGATTTCTGCCTAACTGTACAATCCATCTGCTAATCAGCCTGGTGAGATCATTCCTCCTCTTGGACAAATAAACCCTTCCTGACAAGATAATCCACTGGTTGGTGCGGCAGGGGGAGGAATAATCCCCCTACTATACAAAGATAAATCCCAGACTCCTTGGAAATGGCCTTGAAGATTTTCAGGATGACCTTGTCTGACCTTCGATTTCCCTTGTTTTTCTGCAGCGGCCTGGACCTGAGCGGCCTTCCCATGATGCTTGGCGGGGTGCAGACGATCGACGCGATCCTGGTGCGACCTGGGCAGGTTTCGTCCAATGATTTCGTGGGATGCATCCGCGAGGTCACGATAAATGGCGTGCCCCTCAACCTGGCAGTACCCCTCTCTTCCCGCGGTATTTCGGACAGATGTCCCCGGGCAGCAAACACGTGCTCCCCAGATCCATGTAAAAACGGCGCCGCGTGCCAAGACAAATGGTCCAGTCATCAGTGCCAGTGTTCAGACATCTATGTTGGTGACAACTGTGACAAAAGTGAGTGCACCAATGTCTTCGAAACACTATTTCTCTGTAAACCTTTTGTGGTGTCAATGCCCTCATCTTTTTTTCAGTGATATGCCAAGGTAGCTGTATAAACCTTTAAGTTAGCTTTTCTTAATAATGCAAACCTTTGTTTCTCTTACTTCACCCAAGCATGTAAACCATACATTGCTTTTAGCTTGTCTGTACATGTATGTCTGTCCATGTACATGTACAAATGTATGTGTGCATGTTTCTGCAGTGTAGTTTCTGTACATCATGATAGAGGGCGCTAACCACCTGACTACTAAGTCTTGTTACACCACTGTATCTCACCGATCCCCTACTTTTTGCAGGACGTGTTCCCTTCTCCTTCGGTGGCAACAGTTTTGTGGAGTTCCAGATCAAGGAGAGCTACGTACGGGAACTCCAGCTGGGGAACCAGGTGTCAGGCCGCAGGAGGAGAGCCAATCAGGACACGTCTCTGTCTCTCAAGTTCCGCACACGAGAAAACAACGGGCTGTTGCTGTATGCAGGAGGCTCAGTCAGATACACTGTCCTGGAGGTATGCTTACACTAAAACTACCTGACCTGAAAATAAAATGTATCTTATCCATTTGAATTTCAAAGTTGATTGCATCTTAATGGTTTGCGGTGTAATGATTTGCATTTGTGTTGCATTAAATTCTGCTGCTATATTCATGAAGCATGGTGATTTTTTGACCCAATAATCAGTGAAAAAGAACTTTTATTATCATATAATGTTACTAATGTGTAAGCCACTATGTCACTTCTTTGCTCCAAGTTGAGTCCAAACACTTGGTGTTGTACGGCATATACAAAGTCAATGATTTTCTGGTAACTGAACATTTTTTGTAGGAGTTTTGTAGAAAATTTGATTCACATCCCCCTTTTAAGGTCAGTAGACATGAGCGCGATTTTTGTTTGTATTTACTAGGTGAAGGCAGGAAAGCTGGTGTACTCGTACAATGCCGGATCAGGACACAGGACCAGGGAGATCGATGTGGCGGTCACCAACGGCCTGTGGCACACGGTCACCCTGGTGCGCAGGAGCACCTCCACCTCCCTGTTCTTGCAGAATGAAGAGCAGACGCAGACAGACTGGAACACAGAAATCACCGGGACGACCCACGACTTCCTGAGCTCTGACGTCACCACCATGTCAGTTGGTGGAACCAACACACCTGTCACTATCGAGGGCCAGACTTTACCAGGTACACAGTCAAGTATTCTTTGTTTCCACTTGAAAATTGGCCATCAAGGTGGATCTTTATAGACAGCGAATGATTGTGACTTTCTCTTGACAATGGAAAAACACATGCTTTCAAGTGAATGGAGGGTGAAGGCAACAATCATGTATACGATTGCACTGTGTTGAAAGGATGTGTCACACATAATGAATGAATGAATGAATGAAGACCTTTATTGTACATTTGTGTTCTACAGAACTAAGTACAGGTCGCATGGGTACAGAACATGAACATAAACATATACATTACAAATATATGAACATATAAGAGTGTAAATAAATGTCTAATTTCTATTCTTTTCGGCTTCATCTCGCTTGGTAGTGATTGTATGGATATATGCGGCTGTGAGATTACTTAGAGTAGGTTTATCAAAAGTTAAAAGGAATACAAATTTCTCTTCACTAGTCAAATAACTAAAGTGGGGAAATATACTTAATACATGGCTAAAAAATATGAGTCTATCTCTACTATACAAGGGGCAATCTATGGTGAAATGTATTTCATCTTCTATTCGGCCTAAACTGCAGAATTGACAGGTTCTTTGTTCTAGAGGAGTGCGGTTATGTCTTCCTGATTTGATTCGTAATTTGTGACAACTGATTCTTAGTTTTGTAATGGAGGACCTGTGATGTACATTGTAAGTTACATTGTTAGCCATTTATACATCTGTTACAGTTGAAATTTTGCCTCTGCTTTAACCAAATGTACTTTTTTTGGCAGGATTTGATGGCTGTATTGACGAACTGAGGTTGAACGGTCAGCTGCTTCCCTTCGTTGGCTCTAACAACATCGTTATCGCAACTCCGTCGGAAAATGTTGGCGAAGGCTGCCCCAGCCCTGCCGTGTGTGTGCCCAACCCTTGCCCCAACAACCTCCTCTGCATCGACCAATGGCAGGAGCATGAATGTGTGGAGCCTGGAGCCTGTGCCTCGTCTCCGTGTAAGAACAACGGAACGTGTATTCCTAATGACAGCGGATTCAGATGTCGCTGCGATGGAAACTACAACGGCACTCTGTGTGAAAATGCTATCGCGTGCATCGGTTTTACATGTGGGAAAAACCAAGTGTGTGTCGGAGTGGGGGCCACAGGTCGCACCTGTGAGTGCATGGAAGGATACGGGGGAGACAACTGCCTCCAACAACTGCCTCAGGGCGCAGCGACAGGGTTACACATCGGTGTGATTATCGTTATCGTGTTCTTCTGTCTCGTTGCGGTCATCCTCCTCATTGCCTTTATCGTGTACCACCGGCGACGCATGCTGAGGAAGAGAGATCAGGTTCCCAAAACCACGAAACAAAATGGTGGGCACATGGCGAATGGTGGTCAGGAAAACAGAGCGTACAACACCGATGACATTGATTCTGTGACGCCGTACTTGGGTGACGGAATGATGACTAACGACACCATGTATGACCAAAAAGCCATGCACTTCAACGAGCGGGAGGTGAAAATGCGCGACCCCACACCAGACATCATTGAACGCGGACGCGGCTCCGTACCAATCGACAACATGGATGATGATGACGTCGTCATCGAGAACGATGACGGCATAACAGCATTGAGTCGCCTGCCTGAAGACAGAGACCCGTTTCCTGAGCACTACGACTTGGAAAACGCCAGCAGTATCGCTCCCTCAGACATCGACGTGACATACCAAGCCTACTACAAAGCGTTCCGCGAAGGAAAGAGGTACAAACAACCAGTACCCAACCGACACAACCACCACCCACGACAGAGCCCCAGCAGTCTTCTCCACCAGGTGCACATGAGAGACAGTCCCAACCACCTCGCTCGTAAAAGCCCCAACCACCTGTCACACAGGGACAGTCCCAGTTTCCAAACCTCCGCCCGACAAAGCCCTGCCAGCCACCTTCTCCGTCAGAGCCCTAACCACCTGGCCAGGCAGAGCCCTGCTAGCCATTTAGAAGGGCCCATGAGGCCGCTGGGCATGAGGACTAGTTCGGATCACCTGCCTCCGTCCGAGCATGGCAGCCACTACAGCGGCAGCAGCATGGGCTCCAAGAACCGCCGCCGGGCGAAGAGCCCCTGTGCCAGCTCCCACGGACGAGGCAGCAGACCCAGCAGTAGGTTAAAACAACCCATAGAACAGATTGAGATGGACAGTGGGCCGCCTGTCGGGCTCTCAGTCGAAGAAGTGGAGATGCTCAATGCTCGCCCAAGACACAGCGTTGCCAGCACTATGGATGGTGCGTCATCCATAACAGAAAGAACTATGCCAGTCAACGACAAAATCATGAGTCTACTAGAACCCCCCGATTTGTTAGAACCCCCTGAGAGTAGCACCGAGGAGAGCCAGGATGATTCCTTCACCTGCTCCGAGTTTGAGTACGAGCGGGAGAAGCCGTCGAGAAGCAGAAACAACTTTGACCCGAGAACTAACAAAATGTTCCCTCACGGCGACAACGGTTCGTTGGGAGGGTCCCTGAGTACGCTGCTAGAGGGCGACGACCCACAGAAGAAGCACGCTCTCCCTCCAAATGGCACGTTCAGCTGGGACTACTTGCTAAACTGGGGGCCGAACTTTGAGAACCTGGTGGGGGTGTTCTCAGACATTGCTGCTTTGCCTCCCGATGCTCAGAGCAGGGAACAGAACTCTGACGAAACAACAACAAAAGTTAACGGCGTGGCCAACAATGAAGAGTATGTGTAGGCAAATCATCATTAATTTGTTGCCCTACTTGGTACATGTATAGCACGCAAATGTAAATGCTATCCTTTAATATAGAAATAAAGAATCAATGGTGAACACAGATATTTCTATCCAGTGAATAGAATATTTATTGGCATCAAGTAGACAAATAGATGTGTGATTCCTTTTATTATACAAAGTCTTAAATCATATCATGATAATACAATGTATATATGATGCCACGTACATGTATTCCCTGTGCCATTTGTATCTTCGCAAGCAAATTTCTGCACCTTTTCCAAGATTTTTAAACTTTCCACATCACAGTCATGCTTCCTTAAATGGCAAAATCTATATTTTTGTATCCTCCATTGAAGTTGTTCACAATGAATTCTGTAATTTACGATTAGAAAATGTAGTGAAGAAAATACTAAGGTACATTTGTATGTTTTGAATCGTGAGATGTACAGCATTGTATAAAACATTACTAAGATAGGATTTGTTTTTATAGTGTCACATATGACAAGTCCACAAATTATGAATGTGGGGATGGATGTGTATAGATAGAACAGATAGAAGGAAAATTGTTTTTATATTATGTATGTAAGCTGAATGTTGTTTTTTTGTTTCTGTTGTGTTCAGATGTAGTTGATTGTAATGATTATTGATTACCAGCTTTTGTATATTTGTATGGCAATATTGGAATAAACTTTCCAGTATGAATAATGATTGTGTTTTTCGTATTTTGAGTAATATTTCTGCTTAATTGGGTTGAATGAAGGAATATATGAACCCTTAAAATGGCCAGCATATGAATGAATGAATAGTTGATTTACATAAGGCCACAGCAAGTAAATTTTATGGATGACATCCTCCGCAGACTCCAAATCTAATGCGAGCGGGCGAAAAAAAAAACAAGGCGGGCCGAAAAAAACAAGGTTCTTACATTTTAAAATTTTGACTCAATCATTGTACAAATGGTTTTGATTCAGTGAGAACATCACATACATGTATACACAGCCAGCATCACGTATCACTGCATCAAAGTAAGAAACAAAACATTAAATCTGAGCCTTTTCTTCTTTCCTCTCTTTATAGTTATCTGCCATCCACCTTCCGGCATGGCAACAGATATCTTTGCCCATTTTCGGCATGGTGACCACTGTCAGAAGGCAACAAAATTTCTTGTTTTTTTTTTCCAAAATCAGGCAAAAATTAATGCACGCGTAGATGTCATCCATAAAAATTTCTTGCTGTGGCCTAAGATGACAAGAAAAACATATAATGGCAGCCCTTATAGGCTGAAGAGAGTATGATTTACAATGTGTTAAAAATCTATACAACTTGCCAATGCATTAAAAGTTTACAACCATTAAGCTTTATTGTTTTTTTAGTAAACCATCATGACCAATGCCTGTAATAAAATCTTGGAACAGGTATTACAGTGACTATGGAAAATCGTTTAGCATAAAAACTGCAATGCAAAGAATCATGATAGTCATTCGCATTGCCTCTGACAGAGAAAGTTGCCTAACTCATTGCCTTTCTGGTGATGCAACAGCGTCCCCTTGCAGTTATATGAAGTATTACATCTTGAGTGGTCCTTAATGTCAGGGATGTACTTGTTTAGTGAAATAGTATTTCGCACTTGCAGCAAGTGATTTAGGTAGAGGAGATCATCAATGAACATATATTGTTCATATCATGAATCATTTTGAATAATTGGCAAGAAATTTGGCATCATAGGTATAACAAGTATTAAATGGAGAAAACTGGATTTTTCAATAAGGTTGAGATTTTTGAACCCTTGTTTTCTTTGTTGCTATTTGGTCGCCCAACACTACAACAGTTGCCTTCCTGTGGACATGGCTATAATCATTACCTTCAAGCTTGTGAGATATGTAATTGAGAACGAGAGAAACACAGGCAGATATTGATTATGTAAATTAACACCTAATTTGCATAATTAATGAGAAAATGTTATAATTCCATAATGCTAACTGCCTGGAATTTCATACTTGGGGTATTTGAAAGCCAAGTGAAGGTGAACATCATTAAACATAACTTATTCAAATAAGGACCTCATTTGCATAATTTATGAGGAAATGATAGAATGGCTTTCTTTGCTAAGATAAGGCTGTCTTTTGATGGAGAATATGATCAACTATATAATACAATATTATAATACAATATTATAATATAAAAATAATACAAATGAGGATTTTATTTGCATAATCAGAAGGAATCATCTTTGTCAGTCAAAAAGATTAACATCATTTGGCGAAGGTATGAGATCGTGGGACTCTAGTTGTATTTGCAGTTGTGAGGCAGTCGGCTCTTTGCTGTAAGACAAGTTTCTACCATCAAAGGATTCTGTGATGGCCTGATACTGACCCTGCCCTGTCTGATGACCACTGGCCATTACAGTAGCCGTGGTGTTTGTGTTGGATTCAGTGTTGGTCTGAGACTGACCCCGCCCTGTCTTAATATTATATTATGGCTGTCAATATCTTCATACTGGTGATCATCACCACTGGCCATTACAGTAACTGTTGTGTTGTGTTGGGTTCAGTGTAGGCCTGAGACTGACCCTGCCCTGTCTTAATATTATGGCTGTCAATATCTTCATACTGGTGATCATCACCACTGGCCATTACAGTAGCTGTAGTGTTTGTGTTGGACTCAGTGTTGGTCTGAGACTGACCCTGACCTGTTTTAATATTATGGCTGTCAATATCTTCATACTGATGAACATCACCACTGGCCATTACAGTAGCTGTAGTGTTTGTGTTGGGTTCAGTGATGGCCTGATACTCACCCACAACTTTGTACAGAGAATTTTGCTTTGTGTCAATAGGCCCAGTTTTATACAATGGACATTTAGGCCACACCAATTTAATTTCCTGGTTAACGGATTTGCCCGCTTCATTTTTTTCTGATTTACAAATAAAAATGAAAATTCAAAATCAACTGTAAAATGCTCATATTTTGCCCTGAACAGTTGAAAACAGTCCTTTTCATCCTTGTTGTTACAGTTATTCCATCTTTCAATGCAGTGGTATCATTAAAAGTTCAAAATCATTGAATGAATTTTGAACCAGCCTGGTGTGTTGACTTCATGGCTCCTATCGTACCATTTTGGGCCATAATAGGATGCCTAGGCCTGTTTTTTTTTTTTTCGCCTGCCCGCTCCATTACTTTTCTAGAAAAATCCGTTATCCAAGAAATTAAATTGGTGAGGCCTTAGTATCCAATGATTCAGTGTTGGCATGTGATGGACCCTGCCATGCCTGGTTATGATCATAACCATTGGCCATTTCTGTAGATGTTGGGGCCTTTGGTGGTGTTCCCACACCTGTGTAGTACTGTCATAGAAGAAGAAGAAGAACTTTATTGCGCAACAGATGTACAAATGTAGCAGGTACAACATATGGCAAATATCCAGTTCGTGGTGTTAACATACACATATGGTGGTGTTGAGAATATCTAACAGTTCTACTAACTGTAATAGGAATCTGGTCTGCTTCATAAACAATGTATAACAAAAGATAGACACTAATTGTACTAATCTAACTCTATTAATACAATGTAGTCATAAATTGTGTCAGGAATTTTCTCATTTTGTCATTGAATTGTGTACAAATTGGCCTACATAAGTGGAAATGTTGACAGGGCATGATAGTAACATATAGAATATCTCTGTCTTTGTATGGGGTAGTGTTACAAAATGTATATTGGTCTTACATGTAATATGTTGTAACAATTTTCGTCAGTTTTCATCATAGGTTGGGCAATCAATTATAAAATGTAATTCGTTTTCAACGCCTTTATGACACGTGGGACACAGTCTCTCATTGGCTGGTGTGTTACAGTGGCGACCTTTTTCAATTTGCAAAGAGTGGGCATAGGATTTTTTATCAAGGCAGCTAGCACTTCGCTAGGTAATAGATTTCCAATTCTCAGAGCTTGTATAATAGCCTGAGGCTGACCCTGCCCTGTCTAAACATGATGGCTGTCAATATCTTTATACTGGTTATCCTGACCACTGGTGGTTAGGCCACACCAAGTAAATTTTAGGGATGACGTCAATTGGAGACCCTAAATCTAATGCGAGAGTGCGAAAAAAAAACAAGAAGGGCCCTAAAAAACAAGATGCCTAGATTAGAAATATACTAAGAGACGACAAATGTTAGGACACAAATTGAATGAGGTGACACAGATTAACAAGCAAGTCTTTTATTCATCATCAAAACAGCAATAAATCAGGTGGAATAGTGGACAGTGAAAAATTTTCTGTTATTGACAGGATGGTCCTGTCAATAGTGCAAATTTTCTGTTATTGACAGGATGGTCCTGTCAATAGACACTTTCTTCGCGTTACGTATGGGTTTCACGTCAATCTGACGATTTGCAGCACTGTGGTGACTCTTTGGTCATAGTTACAGGAAGCGAAATTTCTTGTTTTTTTTCTAGGAACAGGCCAAAATCAATGCGCGCGCGGACGTCATCCATAAAATTTACTTGGTGTGGCCTTACAGAAATTGCTGTGTTTGTGTTGCTACCGACAACATTAGAATTTAGCCCAAAAGGATAACACCTGATCTTCCACATGAAAATGATGGTACCAATCAAGACAATGCCAACTGGACCAGAGACACAGCCAATGATAACAGGTGTGGGGAATTGGGGAGTAGATTCGTGGGAACTGTTACTTTCTGGTTTGTCTGAAGTGATTGCAAGGGGTGAAGTTAGTGTTGATCTTGTTTTGCCTGCAAGATCTGTTGTTAAGTCAGCGTTGCGTTTGAAGTACCAGCTGTAGCGACAGTTGGTAAGGGATAGGTTAGAGATAGGTTGGGTATCAACAGGCAGTATCATATGGTTGGCTCTTCACATATCATTTCTTCAGGATTGACATCTATAAGCTTCTGTCCTTGGAAGTTGGTAGGTTGGGCACATTTTATCTTGTTTTTGAACGATGGAAATTCAGTCATATTTAGCCGAAAAGGAACCATCCTACAGTCACACTGCCAGGGGTTCCTGTCAAGATGTATGGTAAGATTAGATGACAACAAGCCATAAGCGGAAGGGGGAATGACAGATACCTTGTTACCCCTAAGATCCAACCTTTGAAGGTTGGGCAGATTTTCAAATGTACTAGACCCAATCATTGTTATGTTGTGTTGTAATGGCGTCTGTGTGGTGTAGTGGATAGAGCGTTCGACTGTCAAGCAAGAAGACCCAGGTTCAATCCCCAGGGCTGGACCCAGACATGTCCGGACATGCACCCAGACGTTGTGCCTTTGGGAAAGGCACTTTACACGCATTTTCCCCCTCAGTTAGAGGGATCCTGGGCCCTACTAGGGTTTGGATTGGCGTTAGGAAGAGCATCCAGCCGTAGAAATCCTGCTTAAAAAAAGACTTGTACTTGGTGCAAGCACGTCTAACCCCCGGTTGGGGAAAAATGATGTTAAATTAAGTTTTTAAAAAAGTTGTAGCTCTAAATGTGTAAGCAGGGTTAGATTAACAAATGCACCAAACTGAATCTTTGATATCTGGTTGTAGGGCAGGCACAACTCTTCTAGCTTGGGTAGGTTAAAAAATGTGCCAGTCTGAACCATTGCTATCTGGTTGAAGGCTAGGGTCAACATTTTGAAAGATTTTGAAAGGCACCAGCCTTAACCATTGTTATCTGGTTGTCACGGAGAACTAATTTTCATCAAACAACAATAAATGTAGCTCAGGCGAATTGAGATCGGACACGGTTTCAAAGGAATGTGTGGCACGTGGACCAGATGTGAGGAATGCGAGTTACCGGAATCGCGGTTTGGGTGACTTCACATCAACGAAGATTGATAATTTCAATCTAAGGTAAAAAATAATAATAATAATGCAGCTACATGGTACTTGAGTATTTGTGTTATCGACAAATAAACGTTTGACGAATAAGCTGTTAAGTGACCAGAATATGAAAAAAAATATTACACTCTTGTACAGTTTTCCTATTACTGTATATTCATTTATTTTCGCGGACTTCATTCCGTGGTAGAATAAACACCTTCGATCCGCACACAGGCAAACCTGTCCTTGTTGCTGAACACCTTCCACACACAGGCAAACCTGTCCTTGGCGCTAAACACCTTCTACACACAGGCAAACCTGTCCTTGGTGCTGAACACCTTCCACACACAGGCAAACCTGTCCTTGGTGCTGAACACCTTCCACACACTGGCAAACCTGTCCTTGGTGCTGAACACCTTCCACACACAGGCAAACCTGTCCTTGGTGCTGAACACCTTCCACACACAGGCAAACCTGTCCTTGGTGCTGAACACCTTCCACACACAGGCAAACCTGTCCTTGGTGCTGAACACCTTCCACACACACAAACCTGTCCTTGGTGCTGAACACCTTGCACACACTTGCAAACCTGTCCTTGGTGCTGAACACCTTCCACACACAGGCAAACCTTCCACACACACAGAAAAAACAATTTACAGTGATCATAAATTGTACGTAATGCAAAGGTTCAAGGATATATCTGGACACCATCCAGTTTTTAAAACATATTTTACTTTAATATATTCAACTGTCCATCTGCTTACAAGGAGTACGGGGCCGTCAGAAAAGCCCGGCTGTCACTACAAACAGTTACCACAACATCTGCTTGGAGACCTTATCCGTAATCTTCAAGCAGATACATGTATACGATCTCAAAGATATAACTTATCCGTAATATCTCCAAGCAGATAAGGGTAATCTCATGGAAGAACTACATGTATCAGCGATACTGAGTCATATCACATGGACAAATTGTGATAATTGTGATTTTTGTTTCAAAGTTATCATTTTTTATTAGATCACTATGAACTTACAACAATTGTAAATATTTCACGGAACTGCAAAATCATCGCTTGCTTGTGACTGTGGCAAAATTTCGCCTGTGGGGCATCATTTTCGACGGACAATAATTTCATGTTATTCATAAAATCAAGTCAGTGTGGACCAATAAACACTACAAAGTAGTATCATTCATATAATGTTATTGCCATAAACAGAATCGCAGATATATCAATTTTCACACATCGATAGATCTTTTGGAATATTGCAGGTGTTAAAAACATGATGATAAAACATGCAAAATACAAAGGAAATAATATGTACATTGCACCGTTCCATGATGTATAATAGTATAATTTATGATAATGACTTTTACATATGAAATAGTGATAAATTCCAAGTCTTTGAATTAAATAGTGACAAAACATAAGTTGATACAACTTTGACGTATATATGCATAAACTGTTATATACGTAATATCTGAATAAATATACCCGAATATACCTGAAAAAAACAAGTTCGACACACGACACTGTCATAACCTCACCTATCTTCCCTACCACACCCTGAGAATATATACTAGTATGCAGTTACTAGTGGAGCAGAGAACATCAAATTTTGGAGGAATCTTTCAAATTGTGATACAAGCACCAAAACTTGGTACAAATACTCTTGAGACATTACTCTTTTGAAAAAGTACGCGGGCCACTTGATTTGACTTTTGGCGCCCCCTAGCGGCGCTTTTTGGTACTGCAGCCGACCTTCCGGGCTTTGCATCTCCTGTTCTAAACATGTTACAGTCATGA